TACAGCTTTATAATTCCAATAAATTGAAATAGGAATTACAAAAACAAAAGTGTGATATGATATCTAAGCAAGCAAATGTATATGCTGTCTCAGAGATATCCCTTTACTTTTGGGGTTGGGGGCAGTTCTGTGGGCATCTTCTCCTCCGTTAGCTTCGACAGCCCAACTATTATTAAGCATACAGAAGGCACAGAAGAGTCTAAGGGCCAACTAAACTGAAGTGTCTAAGGACTAAAGTGTACATTACAGATACCATATCATCAGAAGGTTAACTTCTTTAGCATTTCAGAGATGTGATTTAGGTAGGTGCTCATAACTGAGAGATCATACTTGCAAACCAAGCTTGTTCTTATTTCCAATGATGAATCACAAAGCAAGCCAATTTGCAAACTATGGGAGGTGTAAAAAGCTCATGCTGTGACAATGAGATATGTTTAGCATTTAATGAAATTGTTCTTTTAATGTTGGGTTATCTGCATAGTTTGACATCAGAGTCAGAGATTTATAAAAATCCATGCATGAGTATTGAAAAGTGTTAATATATTAAAAGTGTCATTTTATACATGGAAAAATATGATACAGTGGTGCCCCGCTAGACGCTTACCCCGCTAAATGATGAAATCGCTTGATGAGAACAAAATGATGTTTCCAATGGGGTTTTTCCGCTGGACGTGGAATAGGTCCGTGCTTCATGAATTGTTTGTTCACAATACAGTGATTTTTACGAAATCGCAAAATGGCTTCCCGCTGTTTTCTGACCCATGCCTCGGAAGACAGCCATTAAAAACAGCTGATCGGCACTCAGAAAATGGCTTCCCTATGGAGGATCTTCGTTGGACAATGAGGTAATTTCCCCATTGGAACGCATTGACCGGTTTTCAATGCATTCCGATGGAGATTTTTTTTTTTCGCATGACGGCGATTTCGCTGTATAGCGATTTTAACAGAGCGGATTAATGTCATGCGGAGCATCACTGTACATAAATTTTCTAGAGATGTTTTTCCCAACCTTGGGTAACCCAGGTGTTCTTGGACTACAATTCCTAGAAGCCTTCCCCACCATCTATATTGCTTGAGATTTCTGGGAGTTGTAGTCCAAGAACACCTAGATTACCCAAGGTTGGGAACCATTGCTCTAATAGATTTCTTTCTTTCTTTTTGTCTTTTTGGCAGATAACAGCATGTATCATGCCCCTAGTCATGCTGGCTCATAGTAAACCATTTGTAACCACTATGTTTCCTGTGTCTAAACACACAGGACTCTCAACAACAATAGCAACACATCTGGTTGTTAGATACTGCCTCTCCTGAATACTTCAACATCTTTTACACATCTCTGATTAGATCAGGAAGTCCAGCTTTTGAATCAGTTCTTGAATTGGGGGAACATACTTGGTAGAGTGGTAGTAGAAAATGTGGGTTTTCTCTGCAGCAAATGATTGAAAGTTTGGAGAAGTACTTTCAAAATTCTATTTTTTTCTTTTTTAAGAAAAAAGTTCCTTCCCCCCCAAACTTTTTTTTTTTGCAAAAGCTTATTTATTTATTTTTGCCACTAGCCAATTCTGTGGCAAATTTTGAAAAGCCTACCTTTACTTTCTGAAAAGGAAGAGCTTTCTCATACATGTTTTTCTTTGTCTGGAACAGATCCATTTTATCGCTTAAAAGATACATGACTTTTAAAATATTTCTTTTTAACATAGGAAAGAAACTGAGCATGTTTACATAAGTAGTCTATTGTGGTTGCCCAAACGTCTTGCCTGTCCCATGCATAGAGAGAGGGAGAGAGAAAGCAGGCACAAAGATGAAGGAGAGGGAGCAGGAAAGAGTGGATATGTGTGAATTAGGCCATCCCCAGCCGGGGCCAAACTATGGGACACAATGCCTGTCTAGTTGCACCCTGAGATGTGGTTAACCAATGAAAAAAGCAGCCAGGTTCTGGGATTTTTCTTGCTTGGTATCAGGCAAAAACAAAAGAAAAAGAACAATAAAAAGGCAAAAACATCTTAAAAACTATTATATTTTTGTGTAAGCTTTCATGGACCTTCCTAGCCCACTTCATCAGACATAAGAGGTGGAAAACAGGGATTAACACTTGCTTGATGTCTCTCTGTGAATTGTAGTGAGCCCAAGAGCATATCCTGTAGAGCAGTGGTTCTGCAACTACTACCAGAAACCCTGCAACTACCAGAAACCCTGGCCAGCACAAGTGGTGGTGAAGGCTTCTGGGAATTGCAGTCCAAGAGCACCTGGGTTACCCAAGGTTGGCATCCACTGCAGTAGACCATCTTGACTGCTGTCGCTGGTGTCATCAACATTCAGACAAGCCTTTGCTATGTAAAGCTTGACATCCTTTTTCCGGATGGCAATGCAGGCATGATAATGCAAGGCAACGTCAGGTGTTTTGAACTGTGAGCCCAGAAGCAATACCCCATATTAATAAACCAGAGGGCTTTATTCTGAAGGATCAAATAATTACTTCTACCCCAGTTCTTCAAACAGGGAACTGAAGGTCAGATCACATGTTAAGCAGGGTGTATATTTCCTCCTCGTACAAGATTTTCACTCCAGGCAAGGGAATCTTGCAAAACAATGTGCCTGAGAAATCAGATGTGGAAATGGAACAGTGCGTATAAACTCACAAACACAAGCTGTTTGCCAAATGTGGATCAAGACAAAGCCTTGGTAGCCTGTTCCTCATAAAGCAACTTTTGTCCACTGCTTGTTAATGGAATAAACTAAAGCTGTGCTCACACTGACAATTTGAATCAAGTTCTGTTCAGGTTTTTTTTTTTTTTAATCACATTCACATCACATGATATTTAAACCAGTGGCTGCACTGACACACACTGAATGGAAATAAATTTATTTCTGGTGATTTAAACCAGTTTTGGCATCTACGCTGCTGAAATCCACCCATTTCCTTTCTTTTTTAGGAACCTGTTCAGATTGGTAAAGAAATCACATTCAAGTCACATGATATTTATACTAGTGGCTGCACTGAGACACACTGAATGGAAATCAATTTATTTCTGGTGATTTAAACCAGTTTTTGCATCTACACTGCTGAAATCCACCCATTTCTTTCTTTTTTAGGAACACTCTATTAAAGATTTTGATTTGATTTTTTCAAAAAGTGATACATCAGTAAATTGAGTATCTAGGACAGTGATGGCGATCCTATGTCATGTGTGCCACAGCTGGCACGCAGAGCCCTCTCTGTGGGCACCTGAGCCATAAGTCACCAGATCGCCACCCCTGGTAGCCAAACCTGAGGAGGCAGCTGCAGTGCTAGTGCCCCGACAGGCAGCGGGCCAGGATCCGGAGCAGCTGGTGCTGGTGGCGGCGGGTCGGCTGAGCTATAGGCAGTGGAGGGCTTGAGCACCTCCGTGCCCAGGATTCCCTCTTCTACCTCTGCCACTTCTGTTGCTGCTGCCACTCACCGCCCACTGTTCCCTCCCCCCCAAGTTTATGCAAGGCAACGTCAGGTGTTTTGAACTGTGAGCCCAGAAGCAATACCCCATATTAATAAACCAGAGGGCTTTATTCTGAAGGATCAAATAATTACTTCTACCCCAGTTCTTCAAACAGGGAACTGAAGGTCAGATCACATGTTAAGCAGGGTGTATATTTCCTCCTTGTACAAGATTTTCACTCCAGGCAAGGGAATCTTGCAAAACAATGTGCCTGAGAAATCAGATGTGGAAATGGAACAGTGCGTATAAACTCACAAACACAAGCTGTTTGCCAAATGTGGATCAAGACAAAGCCTTGGTAGCCTGTTCCTCATAAAGCAACTTTTGTCCACTGCTTGTTAATGGAATAAACTGAAGCTGTGGTCACACTGGCAATTTGAATCAAGTTCTGTTCAGATTGGTAAAGAAATCACATTCAAGTCACATGATATTTATACTAGTGGCTGCACTGAGACACACTGAATGGAAATCAATTTATTTCTGGTGATTTAAACCAGTTTTTGCATCTACACTGCTGAAATCCACCCATTTCTTTCTTTTTTAGGAACACTCTATTAAAGATTTTGATTTGATTTTTTCAAAAAGTGATACATCAGTAAATTGAGTATCTAGGACAGTGATGGCGATCCTATGTCATGTGTGCCACAGCTGGCACGCAGAGCCCTCTCTGTGGGCACCTGAGCCATAAGTCACCAGATCGCCACCCCTGGTAGCCAAACCTGAGGAGGCAGCTGCAGTGCTAGTGCCCCGACAGGCAGCGGGCCAGGATCCGGAGCAGCTGGTGCTGGTGGCGGCGGGTCGGCTGAGCTATAGGCAGTGGAGGGCTTGAGCACCTCCGTGCCCAGGATTCCCTCTTCTACCTCTGCCACTTCTGTTGCTGCTGCCACTCACCGCCCACTGTTCCCTCCCCCCCAAGTTTGGGCACTCAGGCTCAAAAATGTTCACCATCACTGATCTAGGAGATGACACCTGGTGTCCTAAAAGTCACTAGAAGCCATAGGGAAAACACTGGAGAGGTGACTCCAGCTGATTAATGATGAAAAAAAAATAAGAAAGGAGGCTTTCAGCTGCCTTGCAGGGCGATGCTCCTGGTGCATGAACCGTCTTTAGGGCCAGGCTAACCCACTCTGCACCCACTGTGTGTCCACTGGTCTTCTGCTGCTCCGCCGGCTCCTTCATTGGGCAAGCGGCGAGAACAGGGTAGATGGTTGTAATGCTGAACGTATTGATGAAGTGATGCTGTGATAAACATTTTAAGGAAAAAAAATTAAAAGCAAAAACGATGGTCCCTTTGCCATCCAAAATCCACAGAGGCACAAATGAAAATGACAGCAGCATTCACTTCCACAAAATGGCATTGAATTGAATCGATTTTAGAAGCAACGTGTTTTTAAAAGCCCCTGTCGGCAGTTGAAAAAAAAACCTCACTTTGCAGCCCATATAAATAAATTTCAACTTTGCATTGTGTGACTGATAAAATGTAAATCAATTTAAATGATGCAGAATTACGGTTGTTCTTACCAGTGTGACTGCAGCCAATTTGGCTCTGAAGAACAGAGGTGTGTTTACTTAAAGCTGTGAGAACCAGGAACTCTTTGGTTCTTATTTGTTCTTGCCTGTTGCCTGTCTCAGCTGAAATGTGAGCCTCTTAACTGTATAAAGCATTTTTGGTGCAATGTTAAGAAACGTTCATCAAACATGACTCATAATGCTCTTGTTTTCAGTTCCACACATCTTCCCCAGAGGGAACATCAGTTTTGCTTATGAAGAGAATCGAACAGGTAACTTTATAGTAGCAATCGAGAGATCTACGAGGTTGATGAATTCATAATAGTTGGGTGAATGGCTTGGGTTTCTGCTGAATGGATCTTGTCATAGCATCAACCAGAGATTTGTCTTCTCTTCTCTTTTTTTGATAAAAAATTTAGTGTGTCAAAAAGTACATCAATTTTTTAATTAACAAAACATTTCTGCTTCAGACATGTTCATCTATACCATTAAACTTGCCCTGATTTTCTCTCACTCTCATTTGACTTTATGACAATCAATATTGTCACATAGTCAGGTATGATTGATTACACTGTGGTATCATATAATCCACTGTGTGCTCACTGATTGGCTAGGCTCACTCGCGTTACTAAAGCAGGAAATGCTGTCTCATTTGCCATTTTATATATCATACTGTTACCTGATCTGATAAGCTATGTAGTATTGTGATAAATTATCCTGCTCATCTGTGATCCCTGACTGGTTGAAATAAAATAAAGTTTCAGTCAATAAGAATACATTCTGGAAAACAAAAAAATATTGAAAGTGGTATTTGACTTAGTACAATTTATTTATTTATTTAATCGACTCGTATGCCGCCTGCACTCTCCAAGAATTCCATAATTGAAGGAAAGACAAATACTTGTAGAATCAAAGAGTCTAAACTCCAGACTAAAGTTTATTGCCTTGTAAGTCTGTTGAAGTCAATGACTAGAGAGCTAATTTCTGTGGAGAATAAGTGTGATTACCTTGGCCTGGATTCAACCTAAGGAAATGCTTCAGGAATTTCCCATCAGAATTGTTCAACTCCCAAATAGAAGCTACGGGAAGATTCAACACAGTTGAAAACCATGCATGTTTTATGAGTAGTTTTGTTGTGGTCTGTGAAGTCTTTCAAGGTTTATAACAAGAGGTTGACATATACTGTTTTCCAGAACTACAAACTACTCAAAGCTTGCCTGAAGCTACAACTACTTTTCCTGCAGCAAGCACAATAAAAGGTGATTTTCACACTAATTTTTATTTGCTGTTACAGGGTTGGAGAACAGAAATTAGAGTTGTTCAAAATCTGTTTCCTTGTGAGAAAAAAAAAACACTAGAGGTTCATGATGATTTTCATAATGAACAGTTAGATTAGAATCCTGTCTGCGAAACACAAAGGATGATGGCACCCCACATTTGCTTCTCCAATTTCTGGCTTGCACTTATGCAAGCTGGAGACCAACCCATTGGTTTCAACAGGGCTTTCCATAAGGGCAAGGACATGGTGGATTTCCTCCGGGGCAAACAACAGCCAGAGAGGAACTATGCTGGCAAGAGACCATTCCATGTGCTTTCCAGAACAGCATATGGGACTTTGTTTGTAAATGGACAAGTTATGGTTGGGAAAATGGAGAAAAGGGGAAAAGGAGGCAGAGATCAATGTTCTGGCATGTAGACAATATTCCATAATATGTGGTTCTTCTGTATATATGTCAGTGTCAGTAGACAGGATCAAGACCCACTATCTTGGGGCAGCTTCTCCTCCTATATGTCAGTGTCAGTAGACAGGATCAAGACTCACTGTTCTGGGAGGGCAGCTTCTCCTCCTCCTCCATGATCAGGAACACCTCTGAACTGTCTGTTCATGCCTTCTGGGTGCCAAGCACAGGGAAAGGGGCCACCCCCATAGGATTCCTCTCCATCCCAGGGCATCTGATGGATCCCTTCTCTGGCCTCCTTGAAAGCATTCATTGTTAGTGAGAAAAGGATGGAAAGACCTGCTATCACATGACTAGAATATGAATGGCACATGATTGTCCGAGGCAAGTAAGGTTCCCAGAGGGGTTGAAGAGGCAATATAGATGCAGCTGTATGCATGGAGAATCACTTTTGAATGAACATGGAATTCATAGAAGTTGTGCTTACAGGCAGAGGTGTGCCACTCATTTAACACATATTTCTGGTTATTACGAGCTATAGAAATGCAGTAACTCCTACACAGTACTACACAACATATCTTAGATGGACCTTTGAGCCTTACTCTAAATATCATCTGCACCTACCCCACTCTCCTGCCCATCCCTCCCCTCCAATATGGAGGTTATCCCTCCAACCACACTGGAAGTGTGTATCTGGTCTTGACATCTCACAAGATCAGGAATCTGAGGCTATAAGCCATAGCCCAACCTCAAGGTGGAGGGAAGCACCTAAACTCAAAATATGGGATCAAAAGCTCTCCTAACGACAGCGACCCACCTGCCATTGTCATGGTCCTCATTAAAGCTGAATCCCTTACATGTTCCTTTGTCTCCTTCTGCAGCTAAGATTCCTCCCAAGGCCCCCAGGTGGGAAGGATATGAGGGGAGTGATTACTGGTTTTCAGAAGACATGGCCAGCTGGCTCAACAGCCGAACCACGTGCAAAACTTGGAATTCAGAACTCGTGATCATCAATGACAGAAAGGAACTGGTAGGACTGGGGCTCCTTGGATGGAAAAAGATTTCCCATTGGCTTGTTCACTTTTAATGAAAAAAGATTGTATCTGCATGTGCTTTTAAATCAGCATAATTTGGGAGAAGGTTTCATATAAGGGCAATATATTTCCTGGTCTCCCTGAATCACATCTCTGTAATATTAACAGGTTTCCGTTTCCAGTGATAGGCCATCTCTAATCTACAATGGCTTTGTGTATTACATCAGTGGTCCCCAACCTTGGGCCTCCAGATGTTCTTGGACTTCAGCTCCCAGAAATCCTGGCCAGCACAGGTGGTGGTGAAGGCTTCTGGGAGTTGTAGTCCAAGAACATCTGGAGGCCCAAGGTGGGGGACCACATGACCATGTAACAAACAAAAAAAGAACCTGGCCCTTGCAGTCTAATGAAAAACACATAAGAAATGTAGCACACACTCCCCTGGCTGGGAGAAAGAGACATTGCTCTGTCTCCCCAAACATGTTGACTGCCTCTGACATGTTTGGTATTTTCAAGACCCTTATATGCCCTGGTCCATGGGGTCACGAAGAATCGGACATGACTTAACGACTAAATAACAACAACAAACAAACAAACGGGCACATGGGTAAATGTCACAGATGGATTGTGGCTAGTACTGAAGCACTGACAGGTTTTAAGCATGTTACATTGCTTGTCACTTTTAAGGATGGCTGGGGACATGGAACTTATTTCTTTGTCATCTTTATTTAAGAGCAAGAAGCGAAAAAGGATAAGGCTCCTGCATCTTTAATGTTTAAAATACAGTAGGATCCCTGTATTGGTTGGGGATTGGTTCCAAGCCCCCCATGGATACTGAAAACTGTGAATAATAGCAAATGCTATATATGTAGGTAAAAGGGGGGGAAAACCCTGAAAAAATATTTGCATATGCATTACCAGAACTGGCCACTAGAGGGCACCAGAGACAATTTAATGTTTCTTCAGCAATGAGTATTCATAGTACAGACTCTGGCTCCCTCTAGTGGCCAGTTCTGGTAATACAGGTGAAAATAGATATATTTTTTTCTGGATTTTTAAAAATATTTTTAATATTATCAGACCATGGATAAGTGAATCAGTGGATACTGATCCCATTGATAATGGGGCCCTACTGTATAACAGAAAACTGATCTTTTTGCGTAGGTGTGCCTTCTCTGAGGGAGAAACTGTGGCTAAAATCCTGTTGCAAAATATGTAACATCTGGAGGTTAATTGACTCAAATTAAGAAAACAGCTCTAGACATTATCTTTTGCCCACCAAGTCTCACAATCTATTATGCAACAGACAATGTCGGTGAAGATTTCTTAACTTCTTTAAGATTTCAATTCACTTCCAAAGTTATGCCTTTTGTGTAACAGGGCAACAGGGTTTTGGCCTCTGTGTTGCAGTTATCATGTTCATTGTGGTCCAAATATGTGATTCTGGCAGATCTTCCTGTCTGAGAAATCAGATTACCAGATGAAGCCCATATTTACATCGCAGCAACCACTAACAAAACAGAATCTGCTAATTGGAAGATGTGAAAAACTATTTCGGGACAATCCAATATTTTTAGCACATCCCTCTTCTATAGTTTGATCTACACATCCCATCATGATAAGAACTGTAGGAGATGCTTCTTTCCTTCTGGGCATTCTGGGCCGGGTAGATTTTTCATTGCCTTCCAACAGGATCTTGATTTATCATATTTATTTTTATCTGGTTTTGCCAGGAGTTTATTTCTAACAAAACAAGGATGGCTGATTATTTCATTGGACTGACATATATGGAGCCTGAAGAACAACAGCCAGCAAGATGGCAGTGGAATGATGGTCGTGAACTCGAGAGGAGCTTGTAAGTCTTATTTTCTCTTTCACCCTTCTTGTTGTAAGCAGACAATTTCTACTTTGTATCAATTTCTAGCTTATTCTGTCCCAATTTATGAATATGCAAAATTGTTTTTAAAATCTACACATGAATAAGTGTGTGCGTGTGTGTGTGTACCTATTGAATATGTTTTCTCAAACATATATGCATTGATAAATTTATCTCAAAGTGCACAATTCTAAAATATTTTATCAAGTTTGGAGAAGTAGAAATTTCGAACAATAAGCATGTTGGTTGTTGTGGGTTTTTCGGGCTCTTTGGCCGTGTTCTGAAGGATGTTCTTCCTGACATTTCGCCAGTCTCTGTTGCCGGCATCTTCAGAGGACAGCACTCTGTGCTCTGGTGTAGTTGGCTTTGGGAGTGCAGTATTTATGGCTGTGAGATAGGCTTTTGTCTTTTTCTGTAGATGGGTGATTAGTGTGTATTGTTGTGGGTGTATTATTGTGCTAAGGACAGGGGGTCACTACACACAAAAGACCAACTAATGACACCCATCAACCACAGGAACAGATAATCTCTTCTCCTTAGCACAACAATACACCCACAACAATACACACTAATCACCCATCTACAGAAAAAGACAAAAGCCTATCTCACAGCCATAAATACTGCACTCCCAAAGCCAACTACACCAGAGCACAGAGTGCTGTCCTCTGAAGATGCCGGCCACAGAGACTGGCGAAACGTTAGGAAGAACAACCTTCAGAACACGGTCAAAGAGCCCGAAAAACCCACAACAACCATTAGATCCCGGCCGTGAAAGCCTTCGTGAACAAGCATGTTCTCAGCTTTGGTCTGGAAGGTGCAGTTGATATCAATTTGTATACACTGTACATGAATGGCATATTATTCAGGAATTCACAGTGATCAGATTTTTTCATGTATCCCTGTTCTTAGTGCTGATGGGTGCACCATATCCAACACATGGCAATCTCTCCTACTGGGTATGAAAGATTTGAAATGTGACGCTTTATTCTGCCTTTAAAGGGCTGGATTCCAAGAAGGACAGATGTATCTCTTGTACATTTAGCAGTTGCACTGAAGGAAGGGATTTCAAGAACATGAAGTTACTAAACACCCGTGCGACCAATTAGACCAGCGTTCCCTCTTCTGTATTAATGGGAAATGTCTCTTCCTGAAGATGTTCCACAGAGGTTACAACATTTACACCATATGTGGATTGCAGACCCATCCACCCATTATTAGTAGGGTAATTGAAGGTTTCTTTTGTATTAAAAGTAATAGCTAAAGAGGTCTAGTTTTTAGAAGAGGATCACTGTACAAAAATGAACTGCCACAAGCATGCACTGAATTTAGGCCCAGTCAAACTGTGATTCAAATCTATTGAGCCATGAGATATTTGCTCTCCACTGGAGTTAAAGAGTCAGAAGTTTTAAAATGCTCACCAACTTCTGAGCTACTTTTCCCTTTCAAGGCAAATCAACATTACAGATGCTACTAGGAATTGTATTTGTCCGTATCCCAAACCAGGTCTTTTCTGACTGCTTATGTTGATTAAAATAAATTGGGTTGTGGTTTTTTTTCTGGCGTATACACACAGTACATTCCAAATACACTTAAAATAAAGTATTTCTACCCATTTGCCCCTCTCTAATACTCAGTTGCATTGGCGTGACTTAAAATTGAATGTATCAACCTTGAAACTATTTTCTGCACAGCAAAACAAGCAGACACTTTCCGTATTGCCAATGTCAGGGCCAGTGCTGTCTCAAGCAACAGGATGATTGGGCTGCCAACCCCACCTCTCCCAACCACGTGGTCCCTCCTGCTCTCTGTGAACTGATTCACCAGCAAGCAGCTGTCAGAGGTGGCATCTGGATACCACTGTTGTGGTGCCTTTGTTCCTGCTCCATTGGGGGATTTGGTGCTGGCACCAGTGTGCACCTCCCTCTCAATGAGCAGGGCACAGGGTGGTGTCTTCTCCTCAACCTCCTTCTTTATACACATGGCCAGGTGTGGTTTTGGTGTGGTGGCCAAATCAAGATGGCCTCCTTTCCGACAAAGAAGGAATTTATTGAGAAGATTTTGGAATTAGCAGAGATGGATATTTTGACAGATACACTAAATGACAGACTGGATAATAATAAATGGGTACCTCTTTATACCTGGACAAAATCTACATCAACTTAAGTAGAATAGATTAGATTAATACTATGTTAGAGAGTATAAGATAAGATTAAATGAATGGAACGTATTGTAATAAATCACTCTGGCTGCAATGGATAGAAAAATAGAAAAAAATACAATAAAAATATATATTTTAAACAAGATGGCCTCTAGTGCATAGGGACCATTGAGGTATATAGCACAAGAGCTGTTGAGGTATCTAGTTTCAGGACTCTATCCTCTTTCACAGTTGGTCACTATAAGAATATCTCCCTGTGCTTGCCTACAACTTTGACATTTTGTAGTATTTGAAAAAGGAACTAAGTCTCCCTAGGAAGGTTTGTACCAGAGGCACCAAACGTTTCTTCTTGGACTAAAGCTCACAAAAATCCATAGCCAGCCTCACAAGAGCTTGGCACATGAGGTGGGCCTGTTAAAATGGAGACCCCCTGAAGCCACAGTAACAGCAACCTTGATTTTGTGGAGCATTATTTCTGGGGGATAAAAGAGGGAAAGAAACAGAGAGATGGAAGGAAAAAGAGAAAAGAAGAAAAATACAATAAATGGATGAAACAGTGAGTCTCCTGTTCTAACTGGAGCAAAATATGTGCTCTGCCGTCAAAAAATGGAAGACTACTGCTTTGGGGCATTCTCAACCAGTGTAGGGTTCAACAACTGACAGCCATTAGACCAAATCCAGCCCTGTCAGTAGTGTGATCTGATTATCCCAATGGCCAACTGGAGAGACAGAATAGGAATTAGGAACTGACAATTGGCCATTTTGACTGGGTTTGATCCACCCACCTCAACAGTCCTCCCCTCCATCAGCATAGCGCTCTAGCAAAACTAGTTGCTGATCAGGGCCTTAACCCATGATTGTTTGTTCTTCTTGTGCTTATCTTGGTCTTCTTAACTGCTCTGTTGCTTTCTATTATTTCACAGGTTTTCTATGGGACCATATGTAAAGGGAAGAGATTGTGCAACAATCAGAGCAGGAAAAGGGAGTCCAGTATCTTGTTATGAGAAACATCACTGGATCTGTGAGAAAAACAACAGATAAATTCTTGGTGCAGAAGAATCTAATGGAGTGACCTGATGGCGTAGGAGAGAAAACTGTACCTTGATGAATAAAAATGCTGTTTTCTAACACGACTATCATCGTCAGCTTTTCATGATTATTATTGTTGCTGTGTTTGCACAACATTACATTATCCATAACCCTTTACAGTGGGAGAGGCACTTCTCTCCTCTCAAAGATCTTACAACTGAATAATTTTTCACATGAGATGAAACACAAAATGCTACATTCTATGTGAGATGTATAAGGAGCAAGCCAAAAACAGGCTCACTAGACACACCAGCTACTAGGAATCTGGAAGAGGTTAATGCACTGTTTACATAAGTTCCCCAGTTTCCTTTCACCTACAACAGACTAATCTTGAGGGGCAAATCCTTGAGTCTAATCCCTTCCTCCTATGGTTGCTTCAGGGAGCAAATACAGGTTAATTATTATCTCTAAAACCATTTATTTATTGTTGTATTTACAGTTCATCCTCAAAGTGACTCAGCAAGCTTCATGGCCAAGAAGGGTGTCACCGGGTCTCCCTTGTCCCAGTCCAGCATACTAACCATGACACCACACTGAATAGTGCCAGTGATGGACTTAGTGCCAAAGGGACACAATGGCTGAAATCCTGTTTGTTTGTTTGTTTGTTTGTTTAACTTATATGCCACCCACTCTACCCAAAAGTCTCTGGGGGGCTTACAACATTTAAATTACAATAAAAAGTCAAAATAATTAAAATGCAATTAAATATATACTCTAAAAATTGCCATCGGGCCCACAGCTGATATTATTTCAATTAAAAGTCTTCTGGAACAGGAAGGTTTTGACCTGGCGCCGAAATGTCATCAGTGTCGGCGCCAGATGAATCTCAGTCGGGAGGGCATTCCATAGTCTGGGGGCAGCTGCCGAAAAGGCCCTTTGTCTACAAGCCGTCCCTCTTACCTCCTTGAGGGATGGCTCTTTCAAAAGGGCCCCCTGGCTAGATCTTAACTGCTGGGTAGGCTCATATAGAAGGAGGTGGTCCTTCAGGTATCCAGGGCCCAAGCCACCTTTGAGACTTCTATGCTTTAACATGATTCCACACTATGGCAGCCCTCCCCTTTGCCAAAGGATGGCAACACTGATTATGATTAATAAAGCGTGGCCCGTATTTACAATAGCCTCGTGGCGCAGTGGTTAAACCGCTGTACTGCAGCCAAAACTGTACTCACGACCTGGGGTTCAATCCCAGGTAGCCGGCTCAAGGTTGACTCAGCCTTCTGTCCTTCCGAGGTCGGTAAAATGAGTACCCAGCTCGCTGGGGGGGGGGGCACTGTGTAGCCTGCATCATTAACTTGTAAACCACCCAGAGAGTGCTTGAAGGGCTATCGGGCGGTATGTAAGCAGCACGCTTTGCTTTGCTTTAATCCATAATCTTGTCTCGCGTCTTTATTCCGGGGTTGGGAGTGCAAAGACTGTTCTTTGAACTCTTCCAAGGTTGCCAAACTTCAAACAACCAAGTGTGAACTTTATTTCTCAAATAGCTTTGAACATCCAGGTGGAAACAGAGACCGGTCTCCTATATTAACTGTAGAAAAAAGAATTTTGGCTTCTCATGTAAAGCTGAAACTATATGAGGTTGAAGCCATGGGTCTTTCTTTTTCACCCACACTGTGGCTTGAGTAAAAGCAAGTATATATGTAAAGAATATTTGTATATATGCACACGGTACCAAAAACTTATTCTGTGAAAATTCTTACAAGCAGTGGCATTCAATGTACAGGATGCCTTCTTTGAGGCAGATGTTTCTCTCCTGTGTGAATGTGTGTGTATAGATGAACGGTTCTCACTCATCCAATGAATGTGGTTAATAACAGAGAAAATTATAGCTTGAAAATACCCCCAAACAGAAATGGATGAATGACTTTTTCTTTCCTGTGACCCAAAAACTGAACAAAACATTATGTTTTTTTAAAAAAAGGGAAGGAAAGCAGGACGGGTGGAGAGAGGATGTTCTACTCTGCTATAAGTAGATTTTGTGGTTTTATTGCACAAGCGAATGCAGGAACATACTAGTCTTGATATTTTTTTAATGGCTTGTCACTGTTTTCTGAACAGCAAGCGCATTCCAGAACAAATCCTACAAGTTTTGTTTCTTTTGGAAAAGACAGCAGAAGGGTTATATGGATTTTGTTTTGTTTTGGTAATAATTTGCTTTACTCGGAAAGAAGCAAGCATGGTATAATAGAAATAAATAGACTTCTTTAATAGACAGCAGACAATGCAATGATTACTACCAAAGACTAGGTTCCTTAAAAAAGTAACTACTGTATATACAGTACCAAGAAAGCTTCACCATCAACTAATTCACTGTTCTCAATCCGTGCTACCCATTCAGGCAAATGCATATGGTTGAGATATACTTTCATCCAACCCCGGGGTGGTCACTATTAGACCGAGGTAAATACCTCAGGCAGCAAATGTTAGGGGCAGCAGGGGCAATTCTACAGCTGCCGGAAGACACAGTTATATATGCAACAGCTGGACAACGAGACCATAGCCTCCTAATATTGCCTTTTGCCTCATATGTGATTGAGGTTGTGGACACTGTCGTATTTGTAGTGGTGAAGTCAGATCTAACTGCTAGTCAAGTCAGCTTCTATACATGGCCGACAGAGGGGATAGCAACTTCTCCTTCAATTCAGACAAAAATAGTTTGGGGGCCAGCCTTGGTCTAGCTCCTGCCTACCTATCCACGAGCTCTTTCGCTGAAGCCCTACCAAGAAACGCAATTCACAACCGTCTCGATAGTCCAAACTAATCTTCACATTGCATCAATTGAAACTTTTACTGCTCATATCTGTAATGCATTGTTTTAAGGTTGTGCCCTGTTTTATAAGCCACTGGCTGGATAGCTTGATGGCTTATAATGAGACGAGCTATCCTGTGTAGTCTTGGGCAAGCTGCACAGTCTCAGGGCGCCTCCTGAAGAAGGGAATGCTCAACAACTTCTGAGTACCCTCTACCTTGAAAACCACAGGAAGGGTCACCAACTGACTTAGCAGTACATAATTCATTCTTATTGTTTGAGAAATATTTGAGAATATCCTTGAAAAGTTCAGAGAAAAAAATCAGGAAAAGGTTGCAGGGTCCCCCAAAACTGCCCAGTCCTCACTTGTCAGAACTATTAGCTGTCATGAAAGCAGGTATACTCCATCTGCTCGTCCTGTTTCTGTCTGTTACGGCTTTCCTCAAAGAAAGCTGACTTCTTCAAGAGGGAAGAAGTGGTCTTGAGCCACTGTCCCTCCTGTGCAGGGCCATTCTCCTGTTTAGTGGCTGTTTGGTTTCTCCAATGTAGAGCTCCCAACACTCCTCTTTGCATTGGACCACCGCATATACTATATTGCACCTGTTGTATTTTGGTGTCCGATTTTTGGGTGGACGAGTCTCTGCCTTAGTGTGTTTGTGGGTTTGAAGTGCATGGGTATGTGGTGTTTACCAAAAATCCTTTGGGCTTTTCAGAACACACTCACCATGGAAGGAATGACCAGGTTCTTCTGTCTGCTCTGGGTCTCAGACTGAAGAAGCAACTTGAATGAGTAGCGCAATGTTTCAATCTAATCAGAAAGAAGTCCAGTTGCCATGACTCAACTTCCAGATAACCTCATCTGGATGATTGAGAACCTTCAGAGATATATTCCTCCTACAAATGTTGGCTGTATCATCATACTTGATGATAATATAAATGCTCTGTGTGGTCTGTATATGTTGGGTAAGGGCATACATTGCGTGGAAGCATTGAATTGACTAAAAAGTCAACCTCTAGCTATTGGATGACACATTTAAAAAACTGAACACAGCATTTTTATTCAGTTGTGTGTATTCAACTGCAGGTAGAAGTCCTCATTTACATAGAGGCATTCCTCTTTTTCTCTCCAGCAGGGGAATGCTTCTTCTAGGGTAACACGTATTATGCAATATACCTGCACAGTCAAAATGAAAAGTCTTCATCTGGCTTCAAACCATTGTTTAACACTGTTATTTTGTTACTATGCAATTATATGCAAAGCTAACTGACGATTGACATGGGTAACAGAGCGGTCCTATTATGGCAGTGCTAGTATTATGGGGACCATCCTACTGCCCAAGCCAAGCCTTATCAGTTCAGTGCAGAAAGAGAGACTGGCTTTTTCTTATCTGCTCTGCCTGTCCCTCCCAGGGCCAAACAGGAAAATAAAGTTAAGGCAATGAAATTAGGAGAGCTCCCTTATGAAAATAAGCTTCTTTTCTTATTCTAACAAGGACTTGCCTTAGTCAGCATTTGGCACAAATTAGCTTCCTTTTGTTTTGTGATTGGTCAATAGGAGAGACGATTTGGCTTTGTTTCCATTTCTGAGGAACACAGCACTGAAAAGATTGTGTGCCTGGAAGGATTACATCTAGGTACCTTAACATGTGTTAATTCTTGTGGGAGGAACGCCTTAGGAT